GTACTTCACTGGAAATGTGTTGCAAGAAAAAATAAGATGGCAAAAAATCGGAAAAGTCTAATCCAAGCCATCAAATGGATTAAATAAGCGCTGTGGGATATTTATTTAGTTTTGTTCAATAAGATTTATAAGGCAGGCAAAATTTTGTTGGTAAGAGTTTGCACTATAATTTTGCGCATTCATTTTTGGTTAGTTCCGGGAAGAGAGCGTCTTTATCCAGTAAAAAGTATATGCGTCCGATAGTCTGTTTTGCTCCAAGTACTTTTGACTAGTGCTATTTGGGCTTATTTGATTTCTCAGACGAAAGTGATAAAGGACATCGTCTGGCTTCTGCTGCTGCTACGGCTTCTTCTGCTGCTGTTACTGCTACTGTCGCTACTGCTTCTGCTGCTACTACTACTATGCTGCTGCTAACTGCTGCTGCTGCTTGTTTCTGCTGCTGCAGTTCCTAACATTTTATCCAATCCTTGCGGTGTACTTTTGAGTTCTCCCACTACTGCTGGAAGTTTTTTGGACGATGCAACTGCGTTGTTGGGATCAGAAAGCTTTGAGGGATTTTGATGAGGTTGTGCACCCATTGCTCTCAGTCTCTGCCTCCAGTTTTCCCTCACTCTGTAATTGTTTTTTGGATTGCCTGCTTTTCTGGATCAGCAGCATATCAATAATACTGCTCGCGATCATCATCGTCGTTGATCTTTGTTTTCCAGAAACGAGGTTATCTCACATCGACTGTTTTTTGGAATCCAGTGGGTTTTATCCCGGTTTTGTGGATATGTCTTTTTTTGGCTAGGATTTTTTGAGGACTTTTTTCCAGTTCGAGTTCGTCCTCGGATTGTTACCATGAAGCACTCGTGTTACGAGGTGCAGTCACCTGCCGGATATAGCTGCACCAGATCTTTTATCCCCCCAATTGGGCATGTTATATGCGCTACCTCTCCGGGAAACTTCTGGATGTTCTTGGGATACAGGCGGCACCCACTCATGTCAGCTTAAAGTTTTAGTTTTTTGCTTGCTAAAATATTTAGATAGGTGCTGCAGCTTTTATGCGAATCAAACGACCAGACTTTCTGAATTTTAACTTTTCATGCTAATTTGCGGGGGAGGGAGAGGGGAAATTACCAGTGTAGTACCAAATGCCAATAGCAACCACTAATTGACAGTTGATGGTTTTATTCTCCAAAATTTGCTTATAAGCAAGCTAATAGCAGGCTTGACGCCCCGCTAAAACTGAGTGGGGAACTTCCCTAGTGATGACGGGTTTTTCTTGCTTTTTGCTTGCTTTTATTTTTTTTTGTTTTTGCTCATAGCCTCACACTTTCTTCCGGCTTTTATTCTTTCGCGCAGGCTTGCTTTAATTTGCTTTTCTTTGTAGTGCTACCAATTTGCCATCGAAATGAATGAACGAATCTGAGAGGGGGAGATTGATTGTTTCGCTACTGATATAGTGGAATCTCAGTTTTATGAGATTAACCCTACTTAGAATGCCCTCCCCTTCCGCCTCCCCTCCCCCGGTCCCCGTGCCAGTATGATGGGATAAAAATATTCGATGAAAAACAGCTCGATTTGCTGCAAATCCCTGCACTTCTCCGCTGCTGCATCATTCAATACTGCATAATTTAATGTTGCTGGCGAGGGCTTCTCTGTCGTCCTTACCTCTCCTACCTCATTTCCCTCAGCTCTGTGATTTGCAGATGCCCCAGTGGGCAATTTCCCCCCTCCTCCTTCCACTCAATCCAGTTGTTGAAAGTGCCTGCCTTCCACACACACGCACTGTTTCACTAATTCCAGGATTGTCTTCGCCTCTCGCAAACCCTGCATCTTTGCTCCAGTCTTTTCCGACTCGAGGAATTTCGTGGATTTTCCCATCTTCTGTTTCGTGCGTCTTCCTCTTTCTTTGATATGTTTCACAAACATCTAGCCCCAGCTGCAGCAGTTCTTTCATCGTCTAATACTCTTCTCGGTGCAGCGCGCTTTCTTCCGGAAAACCATTCGATTTTTTTTGGCACCGCAAATTTTTCAGCTGTTATGGAAGTCCTAAACCGTGTCGTACCCGTCTAGCATATCAGTTTCACAGGTGGATCCAGGTCTAACTTATGGGCGGAGGGGGGGGCGGTCTCAGGGGTGACGGAGAATGAAGCTCCTTGGATGAGGGGGGGACGACGGGGGAGGGGAGGAAAGTCCCCTGTTATCGTGGAACTATGCGAAAGCTAGGAATAGAGTTATAACACTGCTACTTGGAGTTACTTTAGAGTAACTTTAGGCTTTAGTTTACTTTTGTTTTAGCGTTTGATCCAAAGACCCTCCGCCTTCCCCCCCCCCCCCCCCCCCCCCCCCCCCCCCCCCCTC